GCAGTGAATTTAATATGTATCATTTCTGGGCCCCTTCGGGCCCCAGAAGCTGACATATTAAATTTCACAGCCAGATATTTATCGTTATCTCTTTAAATATAAATTAGTTCCGTGGGAGACCTCCATTAAAAGAAATTCGCTTGAACTTTACAAAAGTTACGGAAACTGCGCCTCAGCAAAAGTGTAACTACTGTGGAGAAGATTTAGTCGCTTAATTAAAGAATCACTTATATAGATGCAAATGGCTTCCAAAAAGTATTAAATAATGAACGGGTAAAAAACTTGTTGTAGTCTATCAGAATTTAAGAATTCAAAAAGGAATTGAGATTGAGATAATTAAATTTATGCATTAAATTAATACGCATTTTTGTAATTGTATAATAATGAAAATTTAAAAAGTGAATATATTTTTTTTTAAAAGTTATCTCTATGAAATTTGGTGAATCGACATTTTAGCACTAAATTTTAAATTTTAGTCTCAGTGCCAATGTTTTAAAAAGTTTTTTTTTAAAAAGGTTTAAACCATCTAAAAACTGTTTAAACCGTTTTTTTCCATCCCTAAATTTAAGTTCCAATTTCAAACTATATAGTCCAAAATTTCAAACTTATACGTACTAAATTCTAAATGCATTGGTTAGCTACCAGAATGCAGACCATGTGATTATTTTTTGTGGGAACGAACATTTACATTTTATCAATTTTGGAATTCGATCATTCCTTTTTGCACGTATATCTTACATGCAGAAAATGTTTTTGAAATTGAAAAAAAAAGAAATCGGTGCAATCTAGACACCTATGCATGAAGTGGATTTTTGTTAATCAACTGCCTCACCATTTTCGGAACTTTCAACGTGTTTGCCACCGGATAAAATCCAATTTTTGCAATAATTAATCACTTCACTTTTGTTATTTCCAAAATGTACTGCAAAATATATAATGCAATTAATTAATTTTTTGAGTGAAAGCACAACTTATTGAATATACGTACAGTAATGAAAGTTTTCTTTATATTGACGTACTATAAAAAAAATTAGGTATATAAATGAAAATTAAAAAAAAAAAAATAGCAACTCATTGAACGTACAGCAATGTAAGTGTTTATTCTCTAATGAGCAACAACCATTTTCCTTTATTTTCTCAACTGAATCTTCTATTAAGTTGTAAAAATTACTAATAGCAACAGTTTTTGACACGTTATCACCAACTCCATACATTAACAGGATAGGAAGATGACGTTTCTTATCATTTTTAAAGTTTTTGTCCACAAAACTTTTTTTCAAAAGCTTATTTATATAAGCATCTTCTTCATATCTTCTTCATACACTTGAGAAAAAGAAAAGTTACTGGCAAATTTTTCAGGCTTATCATCAATCTTTATTACAAAATAAGGCAACAACTTATTGAATAACCTTCCCACATGAAAGATCAGAGGTACAGATACGATTTTAAGCAGAGGCGAGAGCGCAATGTATCCATCAAGCGGTTGATCACATACTGCGGCGTAATAAAGAGCAAGCGCACCTCCCTGAAAAAAATAAAAAAATAAAAGTCTCGTTTTTTATTATATTCAATGAAATAATTATAAAATTAATCTAAGAAATATTTTACACACCATACTGTGTCCCATCAAATAATGAGGAATTCCTTCTTTCCTATTTTGCTTCTCTATAAATTCTGTTATATCTTTAATTGCATCTTTCCAACTCCCTCCAATTATAGGGTTTCCGACTTCTTTACATGTTCGACCATGTCCTCGTCGGTCAAATGCATTAACTTCAATCCCCGCCTCACTAAATTTAGAGAATACGTGATCGTGAAAATCAATGCGATCAGCATGACCATGGAGGAAAGTTATATATGCTTTTGGTTCGTCTTTCTCTGCCTTCCATGTTTTGGTATAAACATTAATATCATTTATTTTTATCCACTTCAGTTTTTCTTATTCACAGAAATACATTTAAATACAAAATAGAAAAAAAGAGTAAATAAATCAATTTTAACATTTGTAAATGCTTTAAGTGGAAACTGAATTTAGGTGGATTCGGAATTTTTATATAAAACTCTAACCCTAATTTAACTAGGGAATTCTGAATTTTTATATAAAACTCTAACCCTAATTTAAAAAAATTTTTTTACTTTTTACTACACTTACTAATGGATATGATAATATGTATATTTTCGTCATCGAGCGGGAATTTGAAAATACTCTTAACAGTTTCTAAAATATCTGATAATTTTCTACATTTACATTTAAGCTCTTCTTCGTTTTTTTCAAATATTTCATCATTCATTGTAACATTAACTTTCCATAAAGTGAGATCTTTGTTTTTAGGAAAATTAATTTCTTTAAGAATAGATTTTTTGAGTGTATAAACATCATCATTAATATTAACTTTGACAGGAAATGTAGAAGTTTCTCCCAGAATAATACATTTAAGCTTAATTTCTTATTTGAAAAAAAAAAATACACAATTAATATGGCATAAAGAACAAATAAATACATTTTAACATTTGTAGACATCAATATCTTACTGAATAAAGGTTTATGAATTACTTACTAATGGATACAATAATATGTGTATGATTTTGCTTGAGAGGTAATTTGAAAGCATTTTTAATAGTTTCGGTAGTATCTGATAATTCTTCGCATTCACACCCAAGAATTTTAAGTTTTTCAATTGTTAAGGTTTTAAGTCGCTGTTGCTTAATTTTTCATCATTTTCGATTAGAGGTTCATTTTCGATTAGAGGTTCGGGCAGCTTAATTTTTTTGCAATTTTCTGGAACAATAACTTTCCATAAAACGATATCTTCGATTTTAGGTGCGGATTCTTCATGTAAACTATAATAAACCTTTTTTCTGAGTTCAAAAATCCTTTTGCAAATATCAATATCAATTTTGAAAGGTAAACTTTCTCCCTGAACAATACAATCAAACGTAATAGTAGTCATATATCAAATATTTTTTATTATAACGAAAACTTGTCAAATAAAAATTTATATAAAAAAAAAAAAATTAATCGTTGCCAACAAAATACGGAGAAACCTTGAATGCACAACCTCTCCAAATGCACACTTAACTCCAAATATATATTTGACCTTAATAAAGTCTTTTTTTATTGTTCTGTAAATGCACGTTGTTAAAAGTGGTCCTATAGGGTATACTTAGATACGTATAAAGTATTTTTGTACTGTAGGCTTCAGAAAATATAAAACGGTTACATAAAAAGACAACAAAATTTTGTAAATACGTTTGCAAATTTAACAGTATATTACACGAATTAATACGTACATAAATATGTAATAATTATAAATACGTACGTACGTACAATACATATCGATACGTATAGTATATCTCCATTAGCAATACGATGATGCGTCTAGCATTTCCATTCCTTTAAAAGTAAGAAGGGTGCATATATAGAGTTTCCTAAATTACTAACATCAATAAAGTTATACTTTATTGAAGTCGATAATTTAATGAATGTTTGATTTTAATGTACTACTTGAATATATATTAACTCTAGAAATTGTTTTACAGCTGTTTTCAAAAAGATGTGAACGGTCGCAGTTAGAGATGGGCTATATTGATTATATATGATTATTTAATATTAATAAATATTATTTAAGTTTTTAGTAGATAAGTAGCTATGATGTAATTTATATCAAATTCAAAAAATTTACGATAATGATAAATTTATTATGTAATTTATTGTATCACGATTAGAAAATACGTATCTCAGATCAATTTCTAATCACTGACATAAATGTGAGATTAATTAATATTTGTTATCGATTCTCATGAATAACTGATTTTAATACTAATCTAATCGATAACTAATCGCCCATCACTAGTCGCAGTCATGAGAAATCGGAATTTTACAGCCGTTTTCAAAAATGTGAACAACGATTTCCATATACCTATGTGGGAAATCGTAGGGTTAGGGTTAGGGTTTAATTTATTGCTACTAATGTTGTCTATAACGAATAGTTAGGGTTAGGGAAATATCATGAATTCCCCATGATCACACCTTTTTGGAAATCGTAGTTCACACATTTTTGAAAACGGCTGTAAACTTTCTGCTTGGCATAACGCATAATTAAGCGACAATATTTCCTAAATTATCGACTTCAATAAAGTTAGATAATCTAATTTTCTACTTTTATATCGTCCCTATAAGGTGTAGCTGCGATTTTTAGATTTCTTGCACCGTACGTACAGTATAGTACAGTACGTATGTACGTACACTATTGATGCCGAATATTTTTAGTGCATATACAGTAGTAAAAATAGTACGTACGGAATAGAGATGCTGATGAAAATTAATTTCACCAATTTCACAATAGTGGTGAAATTATTTCACAATTCTAGTTTATTTCACCAACATCTTAAATTCGGCAAACCACCTATTTTTCCTACTACCTGCCCTTGCCCTAACCTTAATCATTAAAAAGGGTTGCTTATAAAAATTGAATTTTGCAAGTTTAAGTTAACCGTACGTACGATCAAAATTTAGTATAGCTTTCGTACGTTCGTCCGAATTTGTACTGCCTTACAGCATTACTTTACTGAATACCTTTTGAAGATTTGATTTCATATGCACCTATTTATACTTCCGTATGTACGCATGTACGTACGTTTTTCTAATACTATATATGTTTTAATAAAAATACTTTTCATGAAATTTCGTCATAGAAATCGGCTTAAATAAATTCCTTCCTTGTTCTAGTTTTAAACAAAAACGCGCATTATACAGCATGCATAAAAATATTTTAAATATTTACCAAGATATGTCATTATTTAAATTATAGAATTGTATGTGCTTTATTACAGTATAAGTTATTTATTAGCAATAGTTTTACGTTCAATTAGCATTTTATCATATGAATTATATGCCATGTATAACGATAATCCACATAAAAGTCTCAATAACCTATTGTTATTCTTTTATTCGTCAGAAACAATTCTGAAATTAAAAAAAGTGATAATTTGTTTTATCGTTAAATATCATTTACTTGATGTAACGTTAAACCAACAAAGTTTACATATGAATTTTTTTTAAGGGAAAATTTTATAAAATGCATTAAATGCTCTTCAAGATGTTGCAGCATTCGAAATGCCTAACAATTACAGTATTGGTTTTTTTCAAGTCGATCTAAATTATGATTCACATCAGGATACGCTTGTTGGCGTTTTTAGTACTTTAATGCCATTGGTGTTTTTATTGCTCTTTACTATTTCACAAGACGAAAATTCATCTTGGAAGACTAATTTTCTTCCTATACTTGATGATTTACTATATAATATTATTACCTGGGTCATTCCTTTAATCATATCAATCATATATGATTCACGAAATAAGCGTATCTTTGCTATCTGCAATGCAATTCCACACATCCTCTGTATAATCATAAGTTATTGTAAAAACAAAAAGCTTAACGTAAACAGCACCAATAAACATAGTGAAATAGACGCTGATGATTATCCTTTTCTTATCGGAGAAATATTCATTGCTTTTATACCAATAACTGTGATACCAACTTTTTGGTTAATTCATTTATCAAGGAATGAAAATGCAAACATTGAAGCTAACGTTAAGAAAGGATTTATTATACTTTTCTCTTTAATTATCTTTTTAACCATCACATTAATAATAACTATATGCTTAATTCCAAAGAAAATACCTAGTAGATTAATTTCATTAGCTGCCCTAACAACACTTTGCCTTCCGGGTCTTCTTCAAACTCTCTTAATTATGTTAACACAACCTGTCAATTCTCTGTTTTTTAAGGTTTTACTCTTCTTATTGATTACTTTTCTATCCAGAATATCAACTTATTTCGTTGAAAAATTTCCTTATAATTTACGTGCAACTCCTACAACCTATGTTTTATACGTTGCACATCAATTCAGAATGACAATTAACAAATCAGAACGTACATTGGAGGAAGTAGAGAGTCGGGTTGCAGCATTAGAAAAGGACATTGAAAGAGTTAAGAGTAGTTCGTAATATAATGTAATGACAATTTATTTAGTTGTATAAAACTCTCAACCACTATGCGTTTGATTAATCAAATGGCTAAGGTTAACAATTAGGTGGCCGGATTTTGTATTGCCGGTAATTTCTAAATTAAGGTTAGATTTTCATAT